TTTAAACTAAATTTTTTTGGCACAGAAAGTAATGTTTGTTTCAAAATATATTAAATAAACTTTAAAAATTTCCAATTTGCTTAAAATGATTTTTGAAAAATTATAATTGATTTTTAAAAGAATTTTAAACAGAGAATTTCACTTTTGTTTACAAAAGGGAAAAAAATGGTTAACATGATCGATTTTCTGTCAAATTTGCTGACTCAAAAAAAAAGATTTAAACGAAAATTTCAGAGATGCTAGGAACAATTAAAAAAAGGTAAAATACAATCAAAAAATACTTTGGTCTTTCCTCTTAATGATAACAAACATTTAGACAATAAGAAATTATTTTCATCAAGTTTAAAGCCCTTTTTATTCATGCTATGCTCTTTTTTAGCAATCTCATGGAGGATCCTCTCTCTCTCTCTATATATATATATATGTATGTATGTATGTATGTATGTATGTATGAGAGAAAGAGCATTATATGTACACCATGTTCATAAATAAACATACCATGGATATAGAGGAAGTTTAACATTTATAAACATGTACAAACACATAATTTATGCAGACAAATGACTTGTGTACATCTCTACAAATAATCTGATATCCTTACATTGAAAATCTTAACGTTATCTACAGATGAAAAGGTTTTGTGTTGTTGGACACACGTCACTGATTAATTGCAAAGTGAATGTAGGTTTATAAATAACTCAGTCATTCCATCCAACTGACCCCATTTCTATTATCTGAGCAGTATAATGAACCTTCCTCTCCAAAGGTTGAGGCGATTTTCATTTCAACCTTTATATCAAAATAGAAAAAAAAAATAACAAATGACAGACAAATGGTAATGTGCTCTGACAGATACAGCAGAATGAACTAGACTAATAAACCAAGCTTATTTAGTACTAGCAGAGAAGAAGGAGAAGAAAGGACTAACCATCAACTGTAACAGGACAGAATGTATGATTGTCAGTAAGAGAAACTGTCCAAGATGCAAATTATGAATTGGGGATGCCAAAATAAAGTAAGTGCAAAAATTTTAATATCTACAAAGTGTTTTAATCAAAGATGGAAGATATAACATTGAAACCTAAAGAGACATTGGAATAATGAAAGATGCATTCCAAAATCTAAACTAAGTACTAAGAAACAGGAAAATTTCATTAGAAACAAACAAAAAAAATACTGAAATGTTAAGTAATATCAGTCCTCCTATATGACAGTGAAGGCTAGACGATTTCCTCATAGATGAAAGAGACTTGAGCTAGTAAAAATGTGGTTCTACAGAAAGATGCTGAGAATACTATGAAGTGAACATGTGAGTAATGAAGAAATTTAAAGGAAATTGGAAATAAAAAAGGATATTTATACATTAAATCAGAAAAAGTAGAAATTTCTAAGTTACATAATGAGGAAAGAGGGCTTGGAGAATTCAAACTCACAGGACATATTGAAAGCAAGGAACGTAGAGGGAAATTTGTGTGAATGAATGGCAAAACAGGGATTTGTGTTTTATGGTTTAACACCTTTTTATGGGTTAAAGCCAAAACATATTTTGGATTGTAAGAATATTTTCTTTTTGAAAGAATATTGCATTAACAATTTTCTGAACAAGAACAATAAAAGAGTAATCAGGAAGATAGTGGGCAACAATTGATATTGCATTTAAATTTTTGAAGATCAAAGTCGATTGGGAAGCAAGAAGCAAGAAGATAGTTTCAAAAGTGAGAATTGCCAGAGAAGGAACTGTTATCATAGAACATACAGTTTCACCTCGCCATTTCAACAATAAAATGATGAGACCTTGTTGCCAATCCAGTACTGTATTTAAATTCATAAAGTCTCAGTACCATAGAGGAAAGTTCATCAGAACAATTACCATAAAAATATTTACAGAAAAGGCACACGGAAGCTACATTATGGTGATTGAAAAGTGACTGAAGCCGTGATGACAAGTTAGGACCAATAACATTATGGATTCTTGTTTGGATTTTATCAAGAATCTCTAAATATCTAACAGGAGCACCAGATCATATATGGCAGCAATATTCTAAGCATGGACAAATGGTAGACATATAAATATATAAGAGATTCTAGAGAGAAAAACTTTGTAGCACAACAGCAACAAACCTGGCAATGGATTCAATATGAGAATGTCAGCAGAGAATGTTAGCCCAAGAAGGCACAACAAGTCACACTTCAGGAGGTTAGCATCAGCCATACTGACGGAAAGCAGAAAGGGGTCTCTCAGATGATTAATAGGGAGAAGTTTTGTTTTAGAGGCCTTAAAATTAATAAGCCATTCCTTGTCCCAGTCAACAGCATATTGTAGGTAAATTTTGAGGTTAGCTATCAATTTGACTATCAAACTGATTAGACTTACTATTGAGACATACATAAACAGTTGTATCATAGATACCAAGTTGAGAACTGATGCTATCAGGATGGTCAATGAAGAAAATTAGGAATAATGCAGATATAGCGCAGGGGGACACCTGCATCAATACAAAAAAGATCTAGAAGAGTGGCCATTCAAGACAACTTTCATTTTGCGATTTGATAAAAAAAGCCTGAATAAGTTCAAAACATTTGTCCATTTGTGAAGAAGACCAGTATGCCAAACCCTGTCAAATGCTTTTGAGATGTCCAAAGCAACAGCCTGAGTAAAAGTAGAATTTATCTGACTCCTCATGCTATCCTCTACCTTACAAGAGTCAGATCAGGCCTACAATGGAGCACTCTTGTCATATTTGGGCAAGAGCTGCCCAGTCCCCCCTCTTTCTCCCCAGTCTCGAGAAAATATAAAAGTGTCTCTGCATTCTTGTAGATAATGAACTATTTTCCACCCTCCAACCTCTCTCTCACAGGCAGGGTGTGACAAACATCTCACTGCTCTATCGCTACTACCATGGAAAATGCTCAAACTGCATTCCTTGGTTCCACCAGTACTAACTTTCACAGCCAGGACCCACCATGCCACTTATAGCAACCCATCCACATTCTCTCCATATTCCATTGATGTAAAGTAAGTTCCACTCAAACAGCTTCTTCCTGCAAACCACTGCTCTGTGGAGCTGACTCCCAAAAGGATATTTCCCTTATCAGTAAAATCATAACCTGTTCAAGTCTAAGGTTAGCTATTATTTTCCCCTCCTATACACATACACTGCCTCTTTCTGTAACCCTCTACTGGGCCTTGTACAGGGTGAATTTCACTGTAAAAAAAAAAAAAAAAAATCTCACAAAAAACAAAAGAAAACCTCCCAAAAAATGAGAGAAGGAGAGTGGGCCAAGCAATTGTTTGTACAGAATGATAAAATATTGGGGTGAGTAAAATAAAGAAAATAATTTTAACATTTATAAAACGTTAAAATTATTTTCTTTATTTTCCTTGTTTCTGTAATCAGCTTGTTATTAAATAATAATTTTTTTACATGCTATGTCACCTCAGGACATGAATGATCATGGCTCTCCACAGATTCCAGCTCTTTGTAGCTTTAAGAAAAATTTGTCCTCTTAGCACAGCTCCCATTTAGACAAACTTACATCAGAGGTAGTTTTGCCAAACTGCTACAAAACCAAAATATCAATCTGAAAACTCAAGTTATGTACTTAAATAGGCTGGTTAGATTGAGACTTTCAAATGTGTGTCATCCATAGTGCCAAACCCATTCAGAAATAACTAAACTGTCAGCTGTATACAGCCACTCCTTAAGATCAACTGTAGTCAGGATCATAGAGTCAATGTAACTATCCTCTCCTTAGTTGCATATTATATGCTTCACCACAGCTTTATTACTATTATTATTTATTCCTGTTCAAATGTGAATGTTGCATCTATATAATAACTGTGAATGTTACACTATTTACATTACTCGGACTATTGTCCTCATCTTTATTGCCACATTTATCACAACGTTTCAGCCGTTATACACTCCAGCCTTCTTCAGGTGGTTGGGATGTTGAACTGAACCCTTTATTTCGCTTGCTGGTGTAGATATTTCTAGTTCCACATGACATGTCTAATGGATGTCAGTTATCTCCTGTTAATTCTCCACTGCCTTAACCAAGTATTGAACTCACAACTCTTTGGGTCCTATCATTGGATCTAACCAATATTTTTATCCACTGTGCCATGTGTCCTTGAGGAGAGAAAAGAGAAAGAGAGAAGAGAGGAAAGATAGAGATAGAAAAGAGAAAGAGAGAAAAGAGAAAAATAGAGATAGAAAAGAGAAAGAGAGAAAAGAGAGAGATAGAGATAGAAAGAGAGATAGAGATAGAAAGAGAGAGATAGAAAGAGAGAGATAGAAAGAGAAAAAGAGATGGAGAGTGATAGAGAAAAGAGAAAAAGAGATGGAGAGTGATAGAGAAAAGAGAAAAAGATTACATACATCTACACATATATCTACTTTGGTTCATTGGATGCTTTATCTTTTATGAATCGTTTTTTTCTTTTTTTTTTCTCTTTTTTGGTCGGAGGGAGCAGCAGAATTCAAATGCTGACAGGCTTTGTTGAATCATAAAAGAAAAGCCTTCCTTTTTTTTTTTTCTTTTTGGCTTTCTATTCTCACACCAACAGGTTTACCTACACCTTCCCCATCCATGTCCCTTTCCTTGACAAATGAGCAAAAGTATCTGCACTTCACATTTGTGAACCACTCAACAACTGAGAATCAATTCTCACTCGGATTTTCACATAATGAGATCATTATACAAACACAAACAACAACAAACTTTTCTCTTGGGTCTTTTTTTTTTAACAGCATAAAAAAAACACGACTCCTTTAAAATAATTATTATTTTATGCTTGATAACAATATTTCAGCAAAAATGCCACCCTCTTTCCTGTCCTTGGATACAAATAGAACAATCTAGTGTACAAGCAGCCATGATGCTTATTTGCATAGTAATGCAACAGTACAACAAGGAATAACATTATATTTAGCTCCACAAAAAACCATCATGGCCGACATCATGCTACACAAACAGAAGACATTTGATATACTTAC